TCTTTTTCTTTCATAAACAATTGATATTTATGTTTTTAGGAAAACATAACAAAAATAGAAAAATTAATTTTTGTTCATTTGAGAAGTATCACGCAAAGTCCGGGATCTATCTATAGTAATTTACTTATTTAAGCAAAATCAATAAAAATAAAATCAAAATTTATGGTTAAAGAATTCTTTGATATTATAAAAGGCAGTATTTATTAGCCACTGCTTTAAACTTTTTTTCATTCGCCTTAATGGCTGTTCACGAATATTTTTAGGAACTTTATTATAAACTTTGATACACATTATGAGGCAATTCCTCTGGTATAATGCAGTTTTACAAGATGGCATGAGTAGACGTGTCGGATCTCTTTTTGCTAGGGAGTTATTATTTTCCTGCACGGTAACGAATTGATTAGAATTATTTTTAATGAAAACACAGATTTCTAATATATATAAACCAGTTAAAGTGAGAATTCTTTTTTCCTTGAACAGGGGTCTACAGCTTTCAAGAGGGCCTACATTACACAGTGCACGAATACATTTCTTCTGCTTTCTACTTAGGAAGGCTTTGTTTGCGTCAGTTGAGTTGCCCCACAAGAGTAGTCCATATCTTAAGACGGATTCAACGTACCCGTAGTAAGCAATACGTGCTGCTTGTGGACCTGCTACATTTTGAAGTTTACGCAGTGCATAAACAAATTGATTAACCTTTTTGCATACTTTTTGTACGTGTAATTTCCAATTTACATACCGGTCAATAGTAACACCTAGGAATTGTGTATCTACTACCTCTACTAATTTTTCGTCCTTATATCTTAAATCCAATTTTTGTGGTTTTGATTTATAATTTCCAAATTGAATATATTTAGTTTTGTTAGTGTTGACTCTTAAATTATTATCTTCTAGCCATGATATAACAGACTCTACAGTAAAATTTATTTCTTGTTCATATATCTGTGACTTATTAGTGTGGGGTATAACAATTGATATGTCATCAGCAAATAGTATTGACTTATGATTTGTTATACTCGGTAAGTCGTTTATGTATAAAATGAACAATAAAGGGCCTAACACACTCCCTTGAGGTACCCCATAGTCATTTTGTAGATAAGGAGATCTGTAATATGTTAACTCTAGTTTATTATTAATACGTGATACTTCAACACATTGTTTCCGATTTTTCAAATAACTTTCGATCCATTCCAAAGCCGGTCCTCTGATTCCTAGTTTTTCACATTTGTACAACAACTTACTGTGTTCCACACAGTCAAAGGCTTTAGACATATCAAAAAAGATGCCTACTGTTGGTACTCTATCATTAATAAATTCAGTTATTCGACGTATCAGTGAAAAGGTAGCAAGTGTAGTAGATTTATGTTTTTTGAAAGCCATTTTGTTCGTTTCTGAGTATATTATATTTTGCTACAAAACTAACAATTCGACTATGCATGGCTTTTTTCAAATATTTTGGATAGAATGGGTATCAACGTAATCGGCCTATAGTTGTTAATCTCATGACGGTCATCGTTTTTAAATAAGGGTTTGACTATAGATGTTTTTAATTTATCTGGAAATCTTCCATGTATGAAAGAAAGGTTTATTAAATACGTCAGAATTGGTGCAAATTCCTTCACACATGATTTCAGTATATGTGTAGTAATAGAATCATAACCAACAGATTTAGTATTATTAAGAGAATTTATTATAATTATGATTTCATTTAATGAGCAAGGTTTTAAGAAGATCGATGATTGAACATTTTCATACATATTCCTTTTAGTTTTATTATTTAAAGAAGAACGGTCGTGAAGAGCTGTACTAATAAATTACTCATTAAATTTACTGGCAATGACGAAAGGATGATCTATTTTAGTTCCATTACAATTTATCCAGTCAATATTATTATTTTGTTTATTATTATATTCATAATTTTTAATGATTTCCCAGGTAGCTTTACTTTTACTTTTTGAATGTGACAGGTGTTTCATGTTTAAATTTTTTTTCGACCATGTTACGCAACTTTTTAATAATTTTGAATATTTGTTATAGATTAATTTGTTTTCTAAACTTTTTGTTTTGTAATATTTATGTTTTAGTTTTCTTTTAGTTTTACTTGCGACCCTTATACCTTTTGTGATCCACTTTGGAGCGAAATTGTCTGTTTTGATTTTATATCTTTGTAATGGAAAATAGAGGTCATATAATAAACAAATTAAGTCATGAAATTTATTAAAAATATTATTAAAAATGTCATCTGTAGTTTCTTTTTCCCACGATATATTTCGAATGCATTTACGAAACTTATCAATATTTTCCTTAGAGTAATTTCTTTTCGTAGTATACCAGTATTTAATTTTAGGTAGCAGTTTAATTGGAAAACTTAGAGATTGACAGGTGTTATGATCTGATAAATGAAAATTGTACAGGGAAGTAGAAATATCAGACTCTTTGAAATTGCTAGCTATATGATCAATACATGTGTGATGTCTCGTAGGTTTATCATTATGTAGTTTAAGGTTGTAGCTGTATAACAAATTTTTTAAGTCATGAGTGACGTTATTATTCTTAAGTGTGTCAATATTAAAGTCACCACACAATATGACTTTCTTTTTGTTAAGCTTAAATGCTAATTTATGAAAAAGAAGATCTAGTTTGTTGAAAAATATTGATACAGGCGATTTGGGAGTTCTATATACACAAAAAATTACACATTTGTAACTTGGTACCTCTATTCCGCAACACTCAAAAATTTTGTCTGCTGATAATTCATAGCATAAGTGTATAACTTTAAATTCTATTGACTTTCTAATAAGAATACATACACCTCCACGTTTTTCTTTTGTTCTACAATATAATGAAGCTAATTTAAAATTTTTAAACTGAATGTTACTCTCATCTCCCTTTTTTAACAAATGTTTCACTAAAACATAAAAAGTTTATTTCTTGCCCCTCATTTGTTAGTTCATCAATACATAGTTCTATCGAATCAATTTTGTTAAGCAAACCTGCTATGTTTTGATGTAGTATGGAAGTAATTTCATGTTTTTGGTTATTATTGCGTATGAAAAAATGGAGTCGTGGACACATTTACGTTAGTACTTTTTTCAACAGTTAATTTATTATTTAATTTATTCACCTTTTTGAAATAATATGGTATGGTGCCAATTTTAGGTTCAGCTGTTTTGCTTTCGTTAGCTAACATAATTATTTCTTGGGATTTTTTCACAATGTGCATCGTATTCGTATCAGATGTATTACTGCGATTTTTAATAATAGTTTTAATATTTTTAATAAAATGCTTTTCGTAATATTTAGAGTCTAATATTAGATTAATTTTTGCACAGATATTTGCGTGATATTCCGTCCTAGACCTGTGTGTGCATTCAATAAAATTACAATTTGGAATGTTATAGCACAAGTTTTTTAACATATTATTTAATTTATATTCATTTAGATATTTATTGTAATTAGTATTAAGTATAATAAAGTTTGAGTTTTTTAGTATTTTTATTACAGCAGCTGTTTCAAAGAATATTTTTGTGACGTTCGTGTCATTTTCCCCAACACAAAGAATAAAGTAGTTAGTGTTAGAATCTTCAATGTTATAACAGCCTTTAAGGATTTCTTCTGTTTTGGCATGAGGTTTTGTCCAAGAGAATATGTCAAAATCTTCAAATTTTGTGTTGATTCTAGAATAAATCAGTTTTGACGCCAGACCTACGCATTGTTGTCCTCCTACTATGAAAATTTTGCTCTTTTTTAATACCTCTTTAGAGTTTTTTTTATCTGATGGCAGCTTTGAGTTATCCAAAACAGTTTCTTCTTCAGTGTTATTTGAACGTAATAAGTGCATTTGCGGCATGAAAAGAGTACGTTTTATTTTTCGAGTAGGTTTCTTTATTGTAGAAGTACTTGAGTTTCTGGGAGAGTCTGAAAGACTACAGCAAATTTTATTCAGGTTTTTTATTTTGTATTCTAATGATATTATTTTAGATTTTAGATTATTATTTTCTAAGATCAGGTCGTCTATTTCCTTATTAGCACTTTCTAATTGCCTTTTTAATGTATGTATTTCATCTTTTAATTCTTCCATAGTTTCATCACACCGTGTTGATAAGTCCGGTAGACTTCTTGCTCTGTTCATTTTTTCTGATCTAATCGATATTAATGATTCATCATCCAAATTACTCGTATTTAGTTGGGTAATATGTTTTCTAAATGTTATGTATTGCGTTATTTCTTCCTGTGTATTTTCCATTGTTTTGAATGCCTGTTATTTATATTTTCTTAAATAACAATGTTTAATCTCATTCAATTCAATATTCGAAACGTTTTGAGAAACTAGTATACATAGCGAAAACTGTTACAAAAAGAGAACTTGTATGCGGGATACGAACTCGTGCCAAACAGCTAACTTGACAATACCGAACATTAAGCCACTACGCCACCAGGCTCGGCTTCGGCTCTCAGCACCCACCGTATAAAACATAGTAGCATTATGTTCCTATTTATATTGGTTGTATTAGAGCTTGTTTCTTCCCGATCGAGGATAACAATTCATATTACTATTATAATATAGCTGTGGTGCATTATTTAAAAAAATGTAGATACCGTACTAAACGGCTAAAATTGAACCACAAAAAGTACGCCTAACGAGTAAACACTTTTTATAAATTTTAGGTAACATTGTTGTATATAACTTCTTTACATAATAATATTGCCTTTCATAAAACTGAAGTAAAATAATAAATTTCTTAAATACACCTACAAGTACGTACAGAAAGTTCTTTTAGTAAGACCATCAGGTGAACCGTGTCCTAGTTTGTCACCGGCGTTATTCTATTTAAAAAAACACCCAAGAGCACGTGTATAAAACTGAAAATTTAAGGGCTGCATTTTATTTTAAAATAAAATACAAAGCAATAAATTAGCTCAAATGTGCAGAAAAGTGCTCTGGGTATTTTTTAGTGTTCGTAAGGTGAATTATGTCCATTATATCGCGTAATAAATGGATGTTTGAAAGAGGTTTCAACACCTCGTTCTCTGTTAACATTTCTAACGATAGATTGCCTATGAATATGACAGGTAAGGCAATTTTTCATACTTTAATGTTTTAAAAGTATGGAAGACTTATTTTCAATTGAGACCGATTTAAAGCGGGTGATTTGAATTTAAAAGCCGTTGATAAAAGTAATTAAGGTATTTATTATCTATCTTAAAATACACGAGAAAGTTCTCAAAAAGACCATATTATGTTTTTTTGTATGTTACCCAGGGAAGATATCCCCGATTTTCAACTAATTTTAAAGATTCCTTTTATCAAATAGGATGTACTTCAACACTAATTTAATTTAAAAAAAAAATACTCAGGTGAAAAATATCGGATGAAGTTTCTAATGTACTTTTTAGACTGTTCATTGTTGAACTGTTCAAACATTGTACATATATTTGTCTCAACACAAGTGCTCCCAACCCCCAAGGTGACATGGACATTAAACATGATCTTTGTTTTGTCCTTGTTCATCTTAAGACCTATCCGTTGGGAGACACCATTGAGACACTGCTAAGGTCCTTCAGCGATTCTGCCATAAGGACTATATCGTCGGCAAATCGAAGGTGAGTGATGTACTCGCCATTGATGTTAATACCGTATCCTTTCCAGTCCAGTAGCTTGAAAACGTCTTCCAACGCAGCGGTGAAGAGTTTCGGGTATATAAAATCACCCTGTCTTACACCTCTTTGCAGTTGAATAGGTTTCAAACTCCGGTTCTGTACTCGGATAGCCATCATAGCCCTACTGTACAAACACTTCAGCACTTCGATATACCGACAGTCAACTTGGCACCGCTGAAGGGACTGTAGCACCGCCCAAATTTCGACGGAATCAAAGGCTTTCTCATAGTTCACATATGCCAGGCAAAGTGGCAGAGTGTACTCTTCGGTCTTCTGTACAATCTGCCGCAAGGTATGTATGTGGTCTATAGTACTGATGCCTTTTCGGAAACCGGCTTGTTCGGGAGGCTGGAAGTCGTAGAGTCTGCCTTCGTAAGTGAGTCTGAATTCGTAATGACTCTCGAAAACAGCACGTAGACGCGACTCAGTAGGGAAATCGGTCTGTGGTTCTTCAAGAGAGCGTTGTCGCCTTTCTTAAAGAAAAAGACCACCGCACTTCTGCTCCACGCCTCCGGAGTAGTGCCACCATGAAGGACGGAACTGAAGAGCTTCTGAAGGACTTCAACTACCGGTGTTCCACCCGCTTTCAGAAGCTCCGCTGTAATTCCATCCTCGCCTGGGGCCCTGCCGTTTTTAAGGTGCTGGAGAGCCATTCTAATCCCGCTCAGACTGACGTCCGGGATATCATCGGAATAGTGTCAGGTAAGACTTGCTCTTGGATCGTTACTCACACTTGCGTGTGGCTCCAACGATGATGTGTACAGCTGCTCATAGAACCTCTCAATCTCACTCAAAATCTCAGGTGTCCCGGAAACGATGCTGCCACACTCAGTCTTCGGCTTTGACGGTTGGCTCTTTCTGGCAGACAGATCTCTGGCAAAGACTTTGGAGCCCTGCTTCTGCTCGATCGCTTCTTTAATACGAGCAGTATTAAAGTTGCGTAAGTCTCGCCGCATGCATTTAGAGGTCTGTATCTGTATAATCCGTAGTAAAACCAGAGTGACCGATATAGCCCAACGGATTAGTAAGCTAAAGTGGCAATGGGCCGGCCATATAGCTTGAAGAACCGATAACCGATGGGGAAGAAGGGTTCTCGAGTGGTAGCCTCGTATCGGTAGACGTAGTGTAGGGCAACCCCCCCACTGGATGGAGTGACGACCTTGTAAGACATGCAGGAAGTCGATGGATGCAGGTGGCTCAGGACTGTGCTTTGTGGCGTTACTTGGGGGAGGCCTACGTTCAGCAGTGGACTTGTGAAAGGCTGTAATGATGATGATGATGATATATTTGTCATTCAAGTTTTTTTAAAGAATATTAACAATGCTATTAACATTACTAATATACCCCTTAACCACCCGTGGTAAGCTCAAATTGCCTGTGTTACGAGTGGCAAACGTCAGTTCGCGGTCCGCGCCCTGCCTTAGGCTTGTTAGTTGCGTGGGCTCTAATTATTCCATACATTATATCTTAACACAGACTTCTAAAGCTGTTAAGTAAAATAATGAAAGAAATAAGGATCAAATATTTATTAGTTACTTGGTTCTTTTTACTTATTATAGTTCTTTACTTATCGGTTCTGTATTCTTATTAGTAAAAATATTTGAAATCAATCAAATCAATTAAAAACTATCGACATTCAAATCATACGCACCCTAATTACGAGCGGCAATAGTATGTTTTTATATATGATAACGACCTTGTAAGCCAACTAACGTTCAGCGCACCCGCTGTAAGACTCTTTGACGTCCTTTCGCAGGCGCAAGTGCTCCCCGCGCTCTCATTTCAGTAGCCACGGCGTGATGTCGTATTGTTTATGTTTTCGTGTGTAGATCGGCCACCCGCTGATAGTTTTCGTAAGCATGTACCAATACTTTAATGTGGAGTACCTAGCATTGATGAAATTTTTTACCTTGCCTGGTGAAAACTTAAACTGAGCGAATGAATATGATTGACATAAGCTGGTTGGAGACGTGCGAGCTTTTCCATCATTGTATTCAGTTCTTCACAGTACACATATATTATTTTTTATTTTCTTTGTTGACTAACAAGGAATATTGTCAGCCTTTTGATCCTATACTCTGTTCAGATTTTGTTAGTAAAATAAATATATAATACACCGCCACTACACGTATTTTACTTTTTTGTTATTTTTGTAATAGTACCTTCACAAATAGCTTAAAAAAGGCCGAACATAACACCTAACGCTGGTCTCTGCAAGTCAATGTGGTGTTATAAAATATTGTAAAAGGTGCAATTACATATTAATTAATAACTTTTTATTAAACTTGAGTCACAAGCGCACCTACAGTCCATTTGTTGGACACCTACATACAATTTTAATCAAAGAAGGCTGCAGATGCGTTGTCACCTCTGAGAACTACTATGAAATTGAGAAACTGTAATTGAATTGGATTTTTATACTCTTCAGATCGGTATACTACACGCACTGCCTCGTCTTGTGGTTGTGAACACGATTTCTGATCATGAGGTCTTGGTTTCAAATCGTCGAACCAAGACCAGTTATTGTTTTTTTCTTCTTTCAAGAAATTCTAACAGCCTGGACATTGAATAAAACTATTATTTACGGATTTTATCGCGTTTAATTACTTTAATTTATTTTTATTATCCCGACGTTTCGTAAATCCGTAAATAATAGTTTTATTCAATGTGTAGTGTTCGCGTAAATTTAAGAAATCATTATAACAGTCTGGAGTCAGGAAGTTGGCGTTGTTTCATCCCCGTGCCTCAGAAAGCACGTTAAGCCATTGGTCCTACGCTCGAGCTTTCTCTGGTCGTGTCGGATTACCGTACTGAGAGTGAGGGAATAGATAGTGCACGTGTTTTGCACATACACTCCGGATCAAAATCATATCCTGCGCAAATAGGTAGTCTTATTTATTTATATACTACATGGACCTAATGCAGTTTCAATAAGAGGAGCACAAAGTTGGTTCGAACGTTTTCAGTCACAGTATTTTGATGTCTAAAATACAGTTTGTTCTGATCGCCCTCATACGGATAAAGTCGATGCCATTTTTTAAAAAGGCTTATTAGTAGTTATGATATAACAGGGAATTAAGGATTGACTAAAAACAGTTTGGCCCATTTGAAAAAGTCTGGCTATACAAAAAAGCTCGATATTTGGGTACCACACGAGCTCACTGAAAGAATCATTTGCGATTCTATACTGAAATGTAATAAAACTGAATCATTTTTGAAAAGATTGGTCAATAATGGTGAAAATTGGATTACATATGACAAGAACGTGTGGCAAAATTATGGTCGAAAGATAGTCAAGCTCCACAGACTGTAGCAAAACCTGGATTAACACGCAATAAGGTTATGCTGTGGGATTGGAAGGACATTGTTTATTATGAGCTTTTACCGCTAGTCAAAACGATCGATTCGGATCTCTACCGCCAACAGCTAATGAGAACTGAAGCAAAAAGTTGAAAAAAAAGGAACGTCTGGAATTGATCAACAGAAAAGGAGTGGTCTTTAATATTGAAAACGCCAGACCACACACAACTTTGATTACACAGCAAAATTGAGAGAGCTTGGTTGGGAAGTGGTAATGCGTCCACCTATACGTCCTGAGCTTGCCCCCTCAGATTTTCATCTGATTCAGTCTCTTCAGAATTTTTAAAGTTAAGTAAACATCAAGAGAGGACTGTCAAAACTACTTGTCGCATTTTTGATCAAAAATGCTAAAATTTCTTCAGCAACTGGATTATTTCGCTACTTTGTAAGTAGACAACAAGATGACAACAAGTCGTCGAACAAAATGACACATAAATATTATAGTTAAATTTAATTAAAAAAAATCTTGAATTAAAAAAAGGAAGCGAAAAACATGCGGCTCAATTGATGTTAAGTTATCGCCTCCACGTATACTCAAATACTCTCTGACAACGGAGTAATTACAGGTACGTAGCTGGATTTAAGCGAGGAATAAGCTTTTTTGCTTATACTGTTATTCATTATCACAATTTTAAAAGCACAATTTTTTGTATATGAGGCATCCCATCTTAGTCCTCAGAAGTTACAACGCATCTATATTTTGATCATTCATCGAGGATAGTTGCAAATGTCTATAGGCCACAGCATCGACTTGCCATCTGATAGACTTTAAACTCATTTGTAACCACAATTCTATAAAAAAGCCTAACCAACATCACACATATGGCGTACCGCAAATAAAATTATTGTTTTAGTTTGTATAGTTATGCTACAACTACGAATATATTATAGTTGCAACACGAATGGATCGTTTTGACCAGGAAAGAACCATACTCGAATAGATTACAAGCGTGAAAAGGCAGCATAATGCTGTATTGTGAGGGTTGAGAATCGGTGACCCTCTTTACTTGAAACAATGTATTCCAATTTAGTTATACAAAACACGGCAGCTA